GCTCTGCGGGAAGCCTGCTTCTCCCTCTCCCACTCCCCCTGCTTGTGTTCCCTCTCTCGCTGTGTCTCTCTCTGTCAAGTAAGTAAAATCTTAAAAAAAAATATATATATATATATACACACACACACACACATATATATGTACAATCTTAAAAGACTCAAGCAAGACAAGAGAATAAAAACTTAAGTCTCCCTGATCTCTCATCTCTTCCTTTAAAGCATGTCCTTTTAAATATTCTTGCATATTTATATAAACAGTGACTGCTCATTTGGTTTCTGTAAATTCAGATCATACATACAGTTCTACTTGCTGCCTTTTCAACTTATCAAAGTGTCTTGGAGATCTGTGTCGGCAGAACTATCCCAGGGGCTGGCGAACTGTGGTCTGTGGGCTGAATTCAGCCCATATCCATTTTGTGAATAGAGTTTCACAGAATACAGCCAACGTTCGCTTTTTAGGTCTCGTCTTGGGCTGCTGCCGTGCTCCAGGAGCTGAGTCAAGCAGCCACAACAAAGCCCTGCAGAGCCCGGCACACCTTCTGCCAGTTCCTCTACACAAAGAGTTGGCTGACCCTCGGTCTGCTCTTTTTAGTATCAGCTCCAAATTCCATCTAATGAATATACAATATTTTACTGATGGTTATTTAGTTCCTTTAAATTCTTCCACATTACGAATAATGCTGCACTGAGTAGGTACCAAGGTTTATACTTTGAGAACTCTTCTCAAAAGCCGCTGTGTAAGCAACTCGAGAAACGTGCCTCTCGTTATTCCAACCACTGAAAAGAAAGGACAATTATGTAATGTGATGGAGGTGCTAAATATGGCTACAATGGCAAATATATTACAATATTTGAATACATCAAATTAATGTGTTTGCACACCTCACATTTACACAATGTTATATGTCAAATATATTCAATTGGAAAAAAAGGTGCCTGGTACATACTGCCGCTCAATAAATATATATTTTTTTAAAGATTTTATTCATTTTTTGACAGAGACGGTGAAAGAGGGAACACAAGCAGGGGGAGTGGGAGAGGGAGAGGGAGAAGCAGGCTTCCCGCTGAGCAGGGAGCCCGACGTGGGGCTCGATCCCAGTACCCTGGGATCATGACCTGAGCCGAAGGCAGACACTTAACGACTGAGCCACCCAGGTGCCCCTCAATAAGTATTTCTTGACCAATGGCTTCTGAATGAAATCACAATACCAAACACAGTGCTTTGCAGAGGTAACTGGTCTTTGTTGAAGAACTTCTTTTAAGATAAGGAACTCAAGTGCATAATTACTGACTGTTAAATGTAAAAAATAAAGTCAGTCTGCAGTCATGAGAGTTCCTAGAACATTCACCCAGCTCTCCCTTTCCTAAAGCAGGTGACAGAGTGGAAGTCATTTTCCTCCAAAAACAAACAGAAATCACAACAGTCCAGTGATGGTGCAGAACACGGACATGTCTGAAAAATCTCCATGAAGATCCTTCCAGAGCTATTTTTATTCCTGAAATTTTATTCAGTTATTTTTCACATCTACCCCCTTAGCTGTTCTGTTCTTTCATTAGAAATTCTATGTATTTTAACCTCTTAATAATCCTCAACATCTTCCCCTGTCTATGCATTTGCTAACTTCCTTGTGGTGGTTGACTTCCTTATGTGGTGTCTGTGTATTTTTTTTTTTTTTTTAATTTATATGAGAGAGAGGGTGCATGCGCGCGTGTGCGAGTGCAGGGAGGGGTGAAGGGGGAGGGAGAGAGAGAATCCCAAGCAGGCTCTGCACCCAGCACAGAGCCTGACATGGGGCTCGATCCCACGACCCCGAGATCATGACCTGAGCTGAAATCAAGAGTCGGATGCTCAAATGACTGAGTCACCCAGACACCCATGTAGTTTTAATTGTAAGCTCAGTTTCAGCTTTACAGGACTTCTTTCCTCCCGTGGGAACCTCCAGCTAGCCTGTTTTGTCAATGTGACCCTGCGAGGCAGGTCTGTATTTGTTTCAGCTGAGGTTCCTTAGTGTTTTATCATTCTCAGGTTGGGATTTCATTCAACTGCTTGTGAAAATTTCTTAGTTTGGGGTATGGATGGTGTGAATTTGGACCCCAGGTTCACATATGATGCAGAATTCTCACTCAGAGTCCTGGGAAAAGGCACGTTTCCTTGCTGCTTCTGAAAGGCCAGTGAATGGAGTTTTTCTAGGTCCTTCAGTATGGATGTTGCAGTCTCTAAAGCTCTTGGTTTTATCCGGGGGGGTCTCAGGTCCAGCTCCCACTATGTGCCTTGGAGCCACACATCCTGTTCCCTACTAAGGGGGAGGCTCTTTAGTGCTCTGATTCTGAGTTCCTTCAGGGATTTTCCTTTCCGCAGGCTCAGTTATGTGTTCGTTGTTTTTTTTTTTTTTTTTTAATATATTGCGTTGAATATTTTTGTTTTATAGCAGACAGTAGGTATTCAGTCTGCTTCACTGAAGTTCTTTGAATACCAATTTCAGTACTGTCCAATCAAGAAATAGGAGGTCTTTCTGTTTTTCTCTGAGACCAGTGCTCCTCAAATGGAAAACAGGCACTTTGCAGGAGGGATACACAAAATGATTCTTTGGGATATGGGAACAAGATTTTACAGCTTTCATTTATATTGACTTTAAAGAGAAACAGAGTTAATATGTAGACGATATATTGGTGCCTCGCTCAGCCCTTTCTGTTGGGCAGCTTCCCTTTATACATGGTAGAGGTTGTATAGAGGTAGGTTGCTAGAGGTAAGAGCACTTGAAAGGGGAGAGAACAGTGGTGCCTGTCCTCACTCACTCACTTTCAGCATGCTGTGATGAATGGAAATTTACAGGTAGGGGCTCAATGAAGTGAGCTTATATTTAGTTTCAACTAAAATAAAATGAAAAAGTAGCTTATACAAATTCCTGCAAAGAAACCACTGACCTAAGACAATATTATTAAGACTAATAACCAGCAAGCAAGAAAATGGCAATTCTGACTTCTCTTATTCCTATAACGAGCTTCCTTTTCTCTTTTCTTTTCTTTCTTTCCTTCCTCCCCTCTCTTCTCCTTCCTTTCTCCCCCGCTCCTTCTTTACTGGGGGGGGGGGGCGGGGAGGGAATCTTTAGCAGGCTCCATGCCCAGAACAGAGCCCAACGCGGGGCTCGATCTCACAACCCTGAGATTGTGACCAGAGCTGAAATCAAGAGTCAGATGCTTAACTGAATGAGCCCCCCAGGTGCCCCTAGAATGAGCTCTAAGTGTAGGACAGGAGAAGCATGTAATTTTTGCATTAAATATATATACCCCTTGTGAGTAGGTTAAGAACGTTCTAATGATACGTGAACATACAAAAAAGTGACTACTGCCCTGGGCAACCACGTTATTCCAGTACCAAGGGGCTGTGTCAAGTGGCTAAGAAACTAACCAGAGGACATTCAGTTGGTGTCCCAAGGAAGAGCCTCATAGAACCTGGGCCCCCAAATAAACATGCAGGAGGTAGCAGACAGTGGTGGCCTCTTGTTTTCTAGAGGTCACACAGAACTTACCACTTACCTTCCTGGTGAGGCTATGTGCAGGAAGGAGGACATAAGTGTGTGTGATATGCATAAAGATCTCGAGAGCTCTTCCCAGGAGGTGTTTTTTTTTTTTTTTTTTTTTTTTTAAATGGGACAGTACAACAAACAGGGCTGCAGACAACATTTGGGATATACTATACCCACAAAAGTCATCTTAAAAGAACGTGATGATAAAGCCAGTCATTCAGAAAGTACGACAGCTGTGGCAGCGACAAGCCAGGCTGCAGGCGAGCTTCACTCCACTCTTCAAGAAAGCAAGTGGGTGGAAATCATTTTTGCAGTAGCTTTGAATCTGCTCAAATAAGCTTTTAAAAGCTTCAAATTCCACTAAGTTAATTATTTTTGGTAACAAATCACTTGGGATACTCCACACAAATGACTGAAAACAAGACAATGTCATGACGTCCTGCTTGTCTGAATCAGTCACTGTTCTGTCTGACGTGGCTGTAGGTATAACACAGTGCTAATCACCTCAGCCTCCTGGGTGACTGGGCTGGGCCTGGGGTGGCTGGATCTCCAGCCTGGTCCCTTCTGGCCACGAGCAGCCTCACTGATTTACCTCGGTGTGCACTGCAAATATCACTACTTTCTATATATCCAACGACAGTGTTTTTGAGACACGGTACCTTAGAGCAGGGTCTGTGGGCCAGATCCAGCCCGTAGCCTACTTTTGTATGGCCCATACACTACTAATGGTTTTTACATTTCTAAACGGTTGGGAAAAAAAAAAAAAAAAGGCCAATATTTTATGACACACAAAAATCACATGAAATTCCAGTTTCACTAGCCATGCTCACTGGTCTACATGTCACGTAGGCTGCTTCTGCACAACAAGGGCAGAGTTCAGTAGCTGTGCAGGGACCATCCAGCCCACGGAGTCTAAGATATCTGCCAGTGGTCCTTGACAAAAAAAGCCAGCCATCCTCTGCCCAGTATCTTATCAAAACCAGGACCCGGGCTCAGTTAACAGACTTGGCTTTAAAGTGGTTTGAAGCACGTCAGCTACAGGTCAATATGGGACATCTCTGCACATGCGAGCACCTTCTCTTGGCAGTCACCATGACCGGATGTTGGTAAATGGCTGAAGCATCTGCCCAAGTACCAGAATAAAAAACAAGCGCATACAGGACCTGACGAGGGACTGCTGCATAGCTTTAGAGTTTCAGGCAGGGAGGCTGTTTCGATGCTGACACAGACTTCTGGGACAGGCAGGGGCTTGGGGACAACAGAACAGAATATAAGAAATCGGGGCTCTCTGTAAAAACGTGCCGGCTGTGTGTTCTACATCTGGAATTGACACACAGGATGTTTCAGACAGACATAACGGGCCAGCCTCCCCACACACACCAGGAAGGGACATGGGTGGGTGGACGGGAAACCTGGAAGGAGCTCTCCCGGAGCCAAGAGGGCTGTGCCTCACAGGAAGAGGCGCGGCGTGTACCTGCACAAGTGTAGGCGTCCTTGCTGGCGAAGGGCTTCACGCACTGGCTACAGCTGATCGGGCCGACAACAGGGATGGGACTGAAAGTGTGCCCGTTGACCATCTTCTTGTCCTTCTCCTTCGACTCTTTCTCCTTCTCTTTGACTTTCTCTTTCTCTTTTTCCTTTTCCTGCCAAAGGAAAGCACCAACAGTTAACTGAACATCAGAAGGCCCTCCCCTTACCTGGGCACCCAGGCGGCATGGGATCATCGGTGGGTGGCGGTGAGTGTTCTGGACGCAAGTCAGGAGCACTGTCCTGGACAATGGTTCTTCTAAGTTGTGAGCATTCCAGCTACACTGGAAATGCTACACGAAGACCAGGCAGGCGAAGCAGTTCTGTCGGCTGCTTGCTCAGTGGCGTTCCCCCACACCGATGGACACAACGTCCCAGCACCAACCCCGGGAAGAGGCTTCTGCATTGGGAGGAGGGGACTCTGGGGTGGCCTATGAACCCTCCTCAGCAAGCCCAAGCTTGGCCCACGGAGGAAGCAAGCAATGAGCTGAGGGCCAGCTGCAGGTGGGGAGCAGAAAGGACGGCAACCATTCTCGGATCAGCCTTGGGGAGAGGGAAGACGATGGGATGGCAGGAAGCATTGCTCAGGGGTTCCTCTTGGACTCCCTCTAGCTGGAAGTATTAACTGTCCCCTACATACACACACACATACCATTGTTGTCATCTAAAAAAATTCCTGCAACAGGAGCACCCCAACACGACAACTACTAAATGCCTTACACGCTGAATCAACACCTTCTATGTACGTGACTGCACCTGACTCCACAATTCTGAAGCGGAAAGGGCGGGCATCGCACTTCCCTTTGTACAACTGAGAAGATAAAGATGATAAATACCAGCTCCAACTCTCAACAGCTGCTATGTGCCAAGCACGACAGCAGGCGACTTAGGTGTATTTTCTCCTAACAACCCAGTGAAGTACTAGTTACGATCTTCACAGCATGTTTGAGGAGACTGAGGCTCAGGGAGGTTTAATAGTGAATCTGAGGCCACACGCCAGTAACTGCCCAGGCTGGAAGTAAGATCCAGATTGGCTGACTCCACAGCTCTGCGCTCATTCACGACACTCTGTCACCAGCGGCTGGAGAGGTGTGTTGACTCACAAAGGGTCACTCAGCAAGTGATCGGCAGTCAACATCACAACGCAGGTCTCCCGACATCCTAATTCCGAGCCCATCTGCTGTACTGAACCGGCGAGTGCTGGCCAAGTCTAATTCACGTACAGCCCCCTTGGTTAACAGAACACGTATAATAAAAATCTAAGAACTGAACTGCTACACTTCAGAACTGTAAAAACTAAGGAGAGAGAGAGAAAAACAAAGTATTTCACTTTACAAAACAGGAAACTGTTGTGAGTGACAATCGGTAACCGCTACAGAATGTAATCTTCTAATAACAGTAACAAGTGGAATTTTTTCAAGTAATTTCTCTCTTTTTTTTAAAGATTTTATTTATTTATTTGAGAGAGCGAGAATGAGAGAGAGAGAGAGCACATGAGAGGGGGGAGGGTCAGAGGGAGAAGCAGACTCCCCGCTGAGCAGGGAGCCCGATGCGGGACTCGATCCCGGGACTCCAGGATCATGACCTGAGCCGAAGGCAGTCGCTTAACCAACTGAGCCACCCAGGCGCCCCAGTAATTTCTCTCTCTTAACTAAATCTTGCTGCAGGCTTTTCTGTGCATAAACGTTAAACTGAACAGCATGCTCCAAGAGTTGAAAAAAAATCTTCTATGGCAACATTCTCTCAAGCCTCACAATGCTCATCAAATCCAAATTAATAATAAATAATACCCTCGTCCTTTGCAATTAGCCCAACTAGTTCTTCCAAGGATAAACACAAAACAATAAACTCCCATTGTCTCTGTTTATTAGAATTTAGTGCTCTAAAGAAGTCAGACTCTTACCTCCCCATGTCCTGTGAATTTCACTGTTATGAGGGGTACTTCAGGAAACCGACCCCATTTTACCGACATGATTCGACCCCCATGCCAGGAAATGTGCTCTCACAGGAGGAGGGGCTCATGCCCGCAGGGCAGAGCTCAGCAGCTTCGAGTTGCCATCAGAGAGACCATAAGAGGAAGCCAGGGACTGGTTGAGAAAGGGAAGGAGGGAGGGCTGAGGCTGCTGGTTTCCTTAAGACAGGCTTAACCATTTGCATGCTGCCAGCAGAACCAACTACCCTAGTTACAAAGGACGTGGGAAATGAAACAAAACCAATTCCCCAAAATATAGTGTGTGTGGACAGTGCTTCAGTGCTTCGACACTCTGGAAGGACCAAGGCCAATTTTTTGACACCTGGAAGTTAAGGAACACATCTACTTAAGAAGACTCCTCATTATGTCGAATCATAATGTATGCTTCCTAAGAACAGTGTTTGGTGAAGTCTGTGGTCAAGTGATGACCAGTTGTTTTCTCAAGTGTGACTTTTCCATGTTCAACAACATGGGGAAGTTGGAGCTCCCGGTATTTCAGGGATGGCTGCAGGAAATAACTACACCAGGGTACTAAGAAGGAAAACGAGTTCTTGCTCTCCCCCACCTACCATTTTAGACAAGCAATTACAATGAGGAGAGCAGAGAGCACTCCAGACAGCTGTAAAACAAGCTGCTGTGAAGCCACCGCCCCGGCTGCACATCTCTGATCGGAGAAGGAACCAGACAGAGAACTGGATTTCACACAGACTTCAGCCTTTGCAAACACACTCCAGCGGGCACCTCCGTAAGGTTCAAGGGTTTAGTTCTTTTATGGGCGCACAGGCCCAAGGAGGCAGAGCCCGACAGTAGCAGCTCTGCAGGAATGCAGCCCTTGCCCCCCAAACGCCCATTTCAAGCCAGAGTAAAAATTTCTGTAGAACATTTCTGCCCGTCTCCTAGTTGTCTGTGAGGGGGAAAGCTCCAAGAAGAACATCAGTGTGACAGGATGGTCTAAAGGGGCTCACTCCACTCCCTTTGTGAATGGGACCACCATGCACATTAGTGTTTCAATACTCTGCAGCAAGCAAACATACTTAGCAGGAAATGGTACTATCAGAAGATACTAAAAAGACAAAAGCAGAACCTGCCAGTCTTCCTGTTATACTTCCTGTTTAGGCTCGCCCCCTTTGGAAAAAAAACACTGAATACATTTAATTACTCATGCCAGATACCGCTAATTTTTAAAAGCACATATGAAGAATCAGTATAGGATTCTTATATATATATATATATATACACATATATATATATATATGTATGTATGTATCTGTGCTAGAGGCAAAATATGAGGAATTTTCTATCTCTCAGTGCTACAGGCAAAATATAAATAATTTTTTGGCTCCTTTTAGCTCCTTAGAATATTATTTAAGAGTGTGACATACAGATTAACTCTTAAGCACATATAATAGATTAGTATTTAATGTAACTTGACACTATTTCCCCTATTTCTTACTATCTTTTGGTACATTCACAAAAGCAAGCTATTCTACATGAAAGGTGACTCTTAACCTTCTTGACACATTTGGCCAGTGGGGCACTTTTCTAAACACCTGATAATGTGAAGGACTGCCATCCAGGGTTACAGATTTGTAATTTTTTTTAAAAAAAGTTTATTTATTTGAGAGAGATAGAGAAAGAGAGGGAAGTGAGAGAGAGAATAAGCAGGGAGGCAGGGAGAGGGAGAAGCAGACTCCCCGCCGAGCAAGGAGCCCGATGCGGGGCTTGATCCCAGGACCCTGAGATTGTGACCTGAGCTGAAGGTAGACGTTTAACCGACTGAGCCACGCAGGCGCCCCCAGATTCGTAATTTTTTGAGAGTTTCCACTGCCAGAGATAGCACGAGCCCCAAAAGACCAAATGTTGAAGCCACGTGTGAAAGAGGAACCAGTCTCATTGCAAAACAGTGTTGTCGTTTTGGCAAAGGAGATGCTCGGACACGAAAGGTCAACTGATAACAGTCTCTGCCAGGGATGACAGACTCCGCTCTAACGATTTCCTTCTTTTCTCCTGCCTTTCTCTCACTCCCTACTAGCAAACTCCAGTCCTCTGAGTTATTTAAAAAGTTAAAAAGATACTGTTTAGTAATGGCTAGATTTTGAGTGAGCACGAAATGAAATATACGAATTGCTAGAAGTCAGCCCACAAAGAGGTTATTTAGTTAATATTATCTAGTTCTGTGACCTGGAGCACAGTTCTCTGGGCTTCAGTTTGTAAAATAAGGAGGATGGGATGAGACTTTTTTAAAAGTCAGGTTCCAGTTTCTAAATTTGATCTTATATGGTTTTGTTTATGTCTGTTTGTATTCCCTCATTAATGCAATCTGCGGTGTATTCACTGCCCTGCCCCGAAAGTTAACGTGGTCACTGCAGAGATGGAGAGAAAGGGGACTCGCCACTTATTTACTGGTCTTCCAACTGAAGATCCCACATTTTAAAAACAGAACAACACACACAACAACTACATTTGAAAGCGTCCAAATAGATCATAAAATTTCTCAAAGTAAAGCTGATGATCTTTAGTTCTTTAGGAGAACCTGGCAGAATGCTGAGACCATCTACAGAAATCATTTCGTAATAGTTGGCTAATTTATACTGATCTTTGCAAGGAGATTTTTTGTTGATGCCAACCAGTGTCCAAGCCAGCAGTGATAAGTCAGAAAGATAAGGCTCTATTTTAAGCCTTGCCGCCAATCTGTGGAACACTGATAAACATTCTGCACTATTTAACCTGAATTTTTTAAATGATAAAACAAGGCTATGTCTGAAGTTAATACTTGTATATATGATTATTCTAGAAACAATTTGCTAGACTCCTTGCATCTTTTCCTGTTTTTTTCCTGATTGGCCCACCTTCCTCCCCTTCTGCACCTGGGCAGGAAAAATGAAAACACAATTCCGGTGGCAGGTTTTGTGGAAAAATTCCTCTGAGGACTGAACCTAGCATTTGCTAAAAGAAAGTGATCTTATTTACAAAACCTCATAAAATTCATTGGCTCTACTTCTACCAGCCCACTTAACTGAGGGCTTAAAAAGCTTGCTATATTTTGGGCGGGGGGGAGTTTGGTGGGAGTGCGAGGGGTGCACTTTTAAAATAATATTCTTGAGTTCAGTGTTTGTTCATTCCCTTACTTCTACGTATGTACATACCACGCACACGTATACACATGCATATATATAGTGATTCCTTGGCAAGAGCTCCTTCACTGATTTCCATTTAAAAACTTTGTTTTTTTGTTATTTCTTTATTTTGCTGGAGTCTGGGTGGGTGGGTGGGTGAATGGAGTACAGGGGAAGTGGGAGGCATAAAGTTTTTTCCCGACTAATGTGACACTGAACTGGTTTTGGTCTACACTGGGAATCAGTATAAGAAAAGTAACTCCTTGTCTTCCTTGCTTTTAAAAATACATTGAAAAAAATTAGAAGAGTAGCTATCTCTATGTGGGGTATTACAGGTGGTTTTTATCTTTTATTTTTATATTTTAAAATATTCCTATGAGTATGAAAAAAAACAGACAAAAAAATGTTTAAGTACTTTAACATAACCTGACTCACTAAAGAGAATTCACTGCAACATGCAGATCCAATTGGAACTAGATCTAGGAATCCACTCTCGTCTTAAAAGTTCTTGTAATTTTCTGTGGGACAATCTTTCTGACCTCTAAATCCAAATATAAATATTTTAAATCCCCTGATCTTGGCATAAAATTCTCCAGGTATGTTTTATTTATTTATTTTTAAAGATTTTATTTATTCATTTATTTATTTGAGAGAGAGAGAGAGAGAAAACGAGTGGGGGGAAGAGCCGAGGGAGAAGGACAAGCAGACTCCACGTTAAGTGCGGAGCCCGATCTCACAACCTCGAGATCATGACCTGAGCCGAAATCCAGAGCTGGACGCTTAACCAACTGAGCCACCCAGGCCACCCCCTTCAGGTACATTTTAAAGCTGGTTTACCAATTAAAACATGTGCCTGAGCGTACGGGATCTGAAGCCAAAGAAGTCCAGATTTGGACCTCTGTTCCACTAACGTGGGGGGCACACACACCCACATCGGGTAGCTCACTCCCAGAAAAGGGAGATAATATCTGCCTTACACGGCTGTGGAAAGGATTATATAAAATAACATATGGAAAGCTCTTAGCATACAGTAAAAACCCAATCAGTGGTATCACCCCTTGTCGCCATTTTTCTTGCTGTTATTTTTCTTCAAATATTAGGCTATTTCAGAGATTATTTCTGGGTTTATTTCCTTTTGTCCCCATTATTTCATCACTTTTTGGGTGTATGCAGGCTGTGACAGGAGCCCATGGGTGAGCGACTAAGGCGGCCACACAGGGAAGGCCCCCAACGGTACTTACTCTGCTCTTCTTGCTGCTGGACATTTTATTCTTGATGTAGCTGAATGTACGACTGACTTTTGTTCCACTCTTCCCTTCAAAATCTTTCTTGGAGGGGCTTTGTGGCAGGAAACTATAGGTCTCTTCTGTTATGCTAAATCAAAACAAGGCAATTGATTTTTTTTAAAAAGACTACAGAATTTTAAAAAATTAAACACAGATTAAAAAATACATTTCTCTGTAACCATATACATTTTAGCTACAAGTCACAGTCAACTTACATACACACATGAGAACGGGAGGCAGAGCAAGGATGGACAGAGGCTGCTGAGTGGCTCCACAAAGTAAGATCTGAGAACAGAGCACACCACAATGCCCAAGCTCCAGTGCCAAAACCTGGCTACGTTTTCTTGTATCAGCCATTAATGTTTTACTAACAGATTTTTAGTGACCTAGTATGAAGCACAGCCTACCTGTCAATTATTCATTTATTACTTTACCTCAAACTTCTTAATCTAAAATAGCACCCAATTTAGAAACATCGTTGCATCAAATAGGTGCTTGAGAAGAAACTCATAAATACAATAATGGAACGATGGGTATGTTAATAAAGGCTGTAGACACAGGAATTGTTATGACTGAATGTACATTCAGGTTCCCTAAAAGCAGAAATCACATATCTTTTCTAGTCTTTTGGCACACTCGGCAATCAATACTGGTGCATACAGCTTTGCACAACTTTAGGAGGGAGGCTACAAAGAATCTAAGTCCATCTATGATGGACTAAGTTTGGATCTTAGGAAATTCAGTGGTTCATTTCCTCAAAGAATGCTGGGCACTTGTACACACAATCCATTACACAAAAAAGGAATCTACTTATACTACTTTTCTTAGGTGTTCTACAAATCGTTATTTTAAGAACTTTTCCGCAGAAAAGTTGTTTACCTCAAGGGCCTCGAGAGAGGACAGAGGCACAACTCAAGAGGGGGAACAATCCTCTTCAATAGCTAAGGTCTGTTTATGTATAAAGAACTGCTTACAAAATAAAGCAGCCTGTCACTACGATAAAGGGGAAATGGTGTGAGAACCACTGCTCTAGAGGACAAAGGATAAATAAACTATCACAGAAATGCAAAGAGAAGCATTCATACTGAGAGTTCTGGATCACTGAGTCACAGCTTATGCCTCTGTGAAAAGGAGAGCAGCTTCAAGTGCAGGGCAACAACCAGAACCCCCATTATGCTCACATTAGAATACTCAAGAGCCCCATGAGCATGACAAGAGGAATATAAAAATAAACAATGAGTCAACATACAAATCTTCTGCCTGCTGTCAAGTAAGAACCAATTAACTTACTCGGACAGAACTGTGTACCGTATCCGTGCAGGCAGAAGAAAAGGACTTTAAAAACTTAAAATGGCTAAGGCAGCAGTAACACACACACACACACACACACACACACACACACACACAAAATGAAACAAAATGTTGTCGGGCTTAGGGATGAACAATTCCTCTAAGCAGAGTACTAAAGTTCATAGAGTCAAATACAAGTGTTTCCTCTCCTGAATAAACATGCAAACATGTCCTTGCGATAGTGTAGGAGACAAAAGTAAAAGACTCTTGAGGACATTATTTGAAAAGGCCAGAGCCTTCTTTACAAACCACTTGTAGCCATTATTCCAAATTGATTACTCAAGGAAGAATTCCATGAGCTGAATTCACTTCTTGGTTGACTTAGTTAAATGTCCTAAGACATTCTGGGTTTCCTTCATTTCGTCTCGGGGAAAGGAGGAACAAAATAAACATGCAGTACCTCTCGGTCAGGTTGGCACTGGTACCGAGGAACGGCCGTGAATCTGTAAAACAGAAACGGGAGAGAAAACGTTGGAACCAAAGGACTGTGCGTGGATGACGGAGCCGATGTTTAGAATGTTTACGACGATACACATAGAGCAGACACAGCATCTGAAAGCCAGCGCGCGGTGCCTTTTCTGTCTAAGCAAGGGTTTGGAAGAAGGAAAAATTCAACTCAAACCCCTCAATATCGGAACTACAAACAGGTGGCAACAGGAGCGAATTCCCCCATGACAAAATATTTAATCCAGGATTCAAGCTAGTGAACAGACCCCTAAACAACACTTTTTTCCTCATGTTCAAACACACACGAAACAGGTTTAATTCCTGTTCTTGTCAATGCTCCGTTTCCACAGGTCATCTTTCTGAGATGACATCACAGGAAGAACATAAAATCAAAAATTAAATATCGTATTCCGCATGCTGCTCATTTTGCTTTCAAAGGTTTCCATACCAAAAAAGTCTAGCTAATGTATATCTGATAATTTCGTGAGCATTCCTAGAAGGAAATGGACAAGTGAACAGGAAAAGGGCATCAGCGCTGTCTTTTAAGATCTTGGTCTTGTCCCTAATTTGGGGTGAGATCTTGGGATTTCATTTCCTCATCTGTGAGACGGGGAGATAAAGCACATGGTAAGATCCTTGCCAGGCTGACACTGACAATGTGTAGGGCAGATGCATCCTTCCTCCTTCCATGACAACCAGACCATAAAGTGAAGCAGGTCATTACAAGTAAGGCTAGGTCAGACAGCAGGGCACCAAGTAGAGCAAAAAGAAGGAACACCACATTCTTTTATCTATGATATGTTAATAAAGCTTGAGCTACGTTAGGACTTAGAGGAGAAGGTCTCAATCACACAATGATAAATGGTTTCCAATTTTTAGGAGATCAGGTACAGAAATACCAGGAGGCAAAGTCTGTTCACAAGTACCACTGTTGTTATAATGTGAACAGGACACACACTTCTTCCTTCAGATGGGTTTCAAGGATTATTATGAGATTATTATAATTTTTATAATTTTATATTATAATGAGATTATTGTAATATTTTAATTTGATAGAGATTTGAAGATGTTCCATTACCACATTACTGGCATTCAAAACTCTTAAATGTCCAACCTGCTCTAGATTCTGAATAGAAATGCAAAATGGTAGCTTTTGCTAAGTAAATAGCCAACAAGAAGGAATAATGCCTAAGAAACTTAAAAATCAATTCTAAGTCTTCAAAAGACTGCTCTCTGTGGTTTTTCCTTTTACCTATTTGGGTTCTTCTTCTATTTCACTTACAATGCATGGTAGTAAATGCCAGTTGCGAAAGATGAACAGAGTTAAGAAAATCTGGGATCTGTCCCTGAGTTTCTGCATGATCTAGGTGTGAAACTGTCAGCAGTTTAACCTCAGATGCCTTAATTTACTTAAACAAATAACCAAGAGTGTGGTTTACATCAGTGGCTTTAAAATCTTTTCTACCCAAGGAACCTTGCATGGTAGAAGCAGCATTAAATTCTCTCACGCTGCCAGGACTCTGTCTGTACACGGGAGCAATCACCTGGGAAGTTACCACCCTAGTAATATGAACAAGTGAACGTAAAATCCACAATGAGGAAAAATACCAACCAGCAAAGAGCCTGGCCAAGAATAAGCTCCCAGCAGTTTTCTGCTGAATAAATTAAAAACTGAACAAAAATGTGACTGAGTACTGGGACAATCTTTGACTCTTACAAGGATTTCCAACCTTTTCACTGCTGAAAAAATTTTAATTCATTTGCTGTGACAGCTTAGATGTGGTTCTGAAAACAGTGATTAATCCACCAATGCCTCTGAGATTCCTAAAGTGTCATCAAGTTTTCAGAGCACCTAAGAGGATGAAATAACTAACGTTACTTCCACAGTACAATTACGTACAAAAGCGGAGAAATCTGTCACTGAAGTTGGCCTCTGAGGTGCTAGTGCAGGTCAACAGCGTATTTCAACTAGGCTTTTCTTAAAGTCCTGAAGTAACCTGCAGACCTAATATACTATAACATTCCAGGGTCAGAACTACTGGATGGACACGGTCAATATTTTCAAAGTGTGTTCCACATAATACTAGTCTTGTGAGGTGTCGTGCATAATCAGGCACATATTGTGGTTACCAAGCTAGTTAAGTTTGGGAAACACAGCTCATTGAACACTGCCTTGGAAACTCACAATGTGCACATCAGCATCTGAAACCAGCTTAACTGGAATTTCCTAAATTTACATGGCCATGAACCAACCCTTTCTTTATCTTCCTCTTCCCTCCACCTCCCTAATGCCTACTGCTATTTTTGAATTTAAGGAACACATTTTGAGGAATGCTAGATACTTGATTCAAAGGTCTCTTCAAGCATCCATATTTTTACAGTTCCATCATGCTGGGTTAACTGTATAACCAGTACCGTTTTATATTAATAATTTTGTATTAGTGGTAGAAGAAATGCCACTGGGACCTTTGTTTTAGTGGCCATAAGTAGACCTATTTCCCGGGGTATCACAAATACTTTGAGCTGAAACAGGCTTGAGAATTTCTGAACACTCAAAGCTGTAAGTGGATTTTCACAACTTCCCTCCTATTACAACTGGTACAAAGTAAGTATCTCACGGTGTGCCTATTTACCAAACATCTTTTAATTGTGAAAAAAAGGACTGACTACAGTAAGACCTCCATTTAAGAGAAATTAACTAAACTTTCTGTTACTGTACATACGGTACTTTCCCATAAGAATGCAAAGAGGTCACTCTGAACTTAATATTGCTTAATTATAAAATTTTAATATTTAAATAAATAGACACTTAAATACTGTTGAAATATAGGGTCAGCAAGTGGTAGGAATTAGGGTGTTCAATTATATGAATACTGTAATTCCCTGAGACTCATATTAGTTATATGAAATGAAAACAATTATTTACCTTTATTACAGAAATGTTTTTTCCATTAAAAATAGCAATCCTGAAATACTCTAGGAGTCTTGCATAATTGAAAACAGTGATCTTTTCATGGGGAGGGGAGAGAATTCATTTCCTTTCCAAGCTTACGAAAACTGAAAGTTTTTAAACTAGGCATTATCAATTAAGAATATATTCATCTGAAATCCACACCATAGTAAAAAGATTGAAAAATAAAAGTTCTGAAGGAAAGAAGGTAGGAAGGAAGGAAGGAAATGAATCTATAACACCCACCCCCTAATTCATATTAGGTTACATTACATGAAAGGTGTAACCTCAAAGGAAAGGTATTTTTTCTTTCTTTTTTTTTTTTTTCTGAAGTAATCTCTTTGCCCACCTTGGGGGCTCAAACTCACAACCCTGAGAACAAGAGTCACATGCTCTAGCCAGTGAGGTGCCCCAAGGGAAAGGCATTTTTAAAGACACGTCTGAAAGGTGAGAAGAAAAATGTTTAACATTAGCTTTTAAATACCAAAGGTGGATATCTAGATGTCCCATGAGACAAAAAAAGCAAAACAAGGAAAAATGAAATTTATGTTGTCAAATAGAAAGCTCTGTGAAATTAGTGCTCAGTACACACAAGGTACAAGGTGGGACAGGAACACATGCCCATGCCCTGCAGTCAGGCCACTGGATCAACCAGTGCAGGTGGTGTACAGAAGACCAAAACTGTTTCATCCAGGTTAATTTTCAAAGCGAAGCATGAAGACAAGTGATTTAGAAATGATGGCATGCAAGGGATAAAAGTCCCCAATTTCTTAGTTAAGCTGACAGCATTTTCAGCACTGGTCAGACTCTGGAGAACAGCCATGGACACCAAAGTTGCTTACTTACTATGCAACCCCTCCTCCTCATCACTGGAGTAAGAAGAGCCAAGAGAAAAAAGGGTTTTAGACTTAAGGAGATATGGAGAGATGCGGATGGAGAAGGAGACCCGCCTTGCTGGCTGCATCCGTGGCTGGGCTGAGAAGTGGGTTCACAGAAGACGTTAGTGCACGCAGACTGTTCCAGAACAAAGTCAAAGGCACCTCAAACCAGGCTGAACAGAATCACATCACAAGCCTGTTTGGTTCCAGGAAAGGCTCTCTAGGCCAACACCGTATTTAATTTTCCATCCTTATTTCTGAATATGTAGAATTCCAATACAGCTTAAAAAATTCATCCAACAAAACAAACACCCCCTTGCTAGAGTAAGAAAACAAGTCCATTATTTTTAATGGTCATAACTTTTTTAAGATTTTACTTATTTATTTGACAGAGAAAGACATAGCGAGAGCAGGAACACAAGCAGGGGGGAGGAGGAGAGGGAGAAGCAGGCTTCCCGTGGAGCAGAGAGCCCGATATGGGGCTCAATCCCAGGACCCTGGGATCATGACCTGAGCCGCAGGCAGACGCTTAATGACTGAGCCACCCAGGCGCCCTAATGGTCATAATTTATAGCTGGAGTTTTTTCCTTCAGAATGAAAACACCTGGAGGGGGGTGTTTCTCAGGATTCTGTGTTTTGCTCTCTTCTCCCTCACCCCAAACCTCCTCACCCCCTGCCCTCTCTAAAGTACAGTCTGCATAGGATGGACTGGTGACACATACCTGTCCTCCCTTCAGCCAGAGCTGTCCTTTGGGCTCAAGAGACTGCTCCCCTCTGGGGGGGGATGGCCCACAGGCTGCGCAAACTGAGCAAGCACGGAAGTGGACTCCGCTTTTCCTCCAGATCTACTCCTCCTCTTGTACTCTTGTTTGGTAAGTGGTACCTAACACCTAAAGAATTACTCCGAACAGAAACCTGGGAACCACCCCTGAAGGCTTCTCAGTTCTTTTGATTCTGTATTCTAGAATTCTCTCCTTCTCCTGATCTGGCACCTCTGCTCCCCAACACTGACATCAGTGTGGTCTCTCTGAAGTGTCTGAATTGATCCATTTAATCACCTTAAATCACTCCACTGCCCTCAGACAAGAAACCCAAATTCCCCAGTCTTGCTTTCCACATACAAGCACACCTCATTTTACAGCACTTCGTTTAACTGCACTTCGGAGAT